CGGATCTAGGGAGAGCGGGCCGGTAGCTGAGCACGCCTAGGATCACTCGGCGGCGCCAAAGGGGAGTTTGGCTTCAGAGTGATTATTTATCTGCACGCTTGCTCGAAGGCAGTTGCTTCTGGAAGTCTTTGCCTTGGGGTTCCCTTTGGCTGTATTTAACCTGAAGTGTCGTTGCAGTGTTCTGTGGGTCAGCTCTAACACTTGGTACCAATGCTTCCTGCAGCTTAGCAAATCTTCTCTGCCGTGTCGGTGCAAATGCAACAACAACGAAAGTGTGGGCTTCTGCAGGTGTTGGTGCCACTTCGTCTGATTCCAAGCCTTGTGCTTTTGGCTCCTTAACTTACCGATCTTGTCTTCACGGCATTGTGAGCTGACAAAATACTCGTATGGTGGATATCATAACAGAAGGCTGTTGCTGGATAAGGCTTAAATTAAGATAATAGGGGGGTTTATGTGCCTTTAAGATACGCTGCGCTCAGTTTGACCATTAAAGATCCCATGGTACTGTTGTATGCATCGGGTACAAGGAGGGGGACACCAGCCTGTACATTCTTGCTCAAAATACCTCTTCTGTGTATTTGTATGAAGTTGGCTTCATTTTCTGTGGGTCTTGCATGTACCGCAAAAGGCTATCAAGCTCTTCTTTAGCTCTCCTTTAAGCCACAAAGCAGACACAGTAGTTTTCAAATGAGGGTTGAGTTTGCAGTGGATGCTGGGCACTACGTGCAGAAACAGAGGTTAAGCTCTTTGGGAGATAATCCCTCACTTCTATGCATTTGAAAATTTGTTCTGGAGCTATGTGCATGCTCTCTCGTACATCTGTGCTTTGTCCTGGGATTGCCTAAATGTGGGAGTTACTGACAAAATAACAACGTCATTTATTTATCTGGTGTCGGGAAAAACTTGCGTTGTGGAATGAGCAACTTTTGGAAATGACCTGTTTGTTAATGATTTCCTGGTATTTGTTGCAGGAGCAGGATGTATACTCTGCTGTCCGGGCTCTATAAATACATGTTCCAGAGGGATGAGTACTGCATCTTGATCCTTGGCTTGGACAATGCTGGTAAAACTGTAAGTGCTGTTTATTACCAATTATGTGGAGGGCACATGCAATTCTAAACATCCTCCAAATATAAAACTTCTAACAGGCTGGTCGGTCTTTCTTCAGCTGTATTGTGAGTAATTTTAGTGATGTCATACCAAAGAATCAACTTTTCCCTCTTACTTAAATTTAGCATAAGCTTTCAGGGATGTAGCTGAGGCTTTGGTAATCCTGTAATCACCTGTGATCCCTTCTTTCCTTGCTAAAATAGAGAACAAGAAGAGTGGTTTGTTCCAGGGTTAGGTAGGGCAGTATCTGTTGGAGCAAGGATTCCGCAGAAATTAAAAGGCAGGTTTGGGTTAGGATCATCCCAGCCAGTAAAATATTTGAGAGTAAATACATTTTCTTGTTCCTTTTCAGACCTTCCTTGAACAAACTAAAACTCGATTTAACAAGAACTACAAAGGGATGAGTTTGTCCAAAATCACAACCACTGTAGGTTTAAACAGTAAGTAAATCTGTTTGGAGTTTTCTCAGCTTCCCCGCGCAGTTAGACACCGGCTGGTTCTTGTTGGAAATATTTAAGAATTGTCAAGGGCAGAATAGTTCCTGAAAGTAGAGATTGTATCTCCCAACTCCCCATTTCTTTTTCTAAGAGAATAAAATAGGCTTGCTTTGCTTATGAGGAAAAAAACGTGAAGTCTTAACAAACCAAGTATCCCATTTCAGTGCTATGCTCAGAGGTTAAGCTAAATATCACTGGAGTTCTTCCGTTGGCCTGATTCTGATATTATTTGCGCTGATGCGACTCTATCCAAAAATCTTTCCAAAGGTATTGTTCTGTTGTTGAAAGTAGCCCCCATATGTGATTTGTTCCTCTAGAAGACTGTTCTACCCCACATTTCCTAGGGGGCTGCGTAGGTGTTTGGGCTTTAGAGAACACCTTTAGTTTTCATTGGATTGTTTTTTCTTCTTTCCCTCTAGTTGGGACTATTGATGTTGGCAAAACTCGGCTAATGTTCTGGGATCTTGGCGGACAGGATGAGCTACAGTCTCTCTGGGACAAGGTTGGAGATGTATTTTTTTTTCTTTTAAAAATGTTTTTGTCTCTTTTAGAATTGAAGCAGTGTGATCATTTAGTAATCATGGAGGTTTATTGATAAACCTAGTGTTAGCATCAAAGCTTTTCCAGAGATTCAACTATATCTGTGTAAGATTAACAAAGATAATGTTTAATATTTGCAGTATTGTTTACAGACAGCAATTACCAACCCATACCTGAGGGTTGAGCCAGTAGAGATAAGATTTTGGGGGGGAAGGGGACAGGTTGTATTCAGTCGGCCTGCAAACAGAACAGGCAATGCATTCTGTGTGCCACCATTCTTCTCTCCAGACATACGCTGTGGAAACAGCTGGCTCTTACTGGTTGATCTCTTCCACGTGTACCCAAATTTTACCAAATTAAAAAAAAATAAAATCAGGTAGAGGAACAAATGGTCCTAGCGGAGAGATGCACTAACAGCTGTGTTATCCTTTCAGTATTATGCTGAATCTCACGGAGTGATCTACGTTATTGACTCCACTGACGAGGAGAGGCTCTCAGAATCTAAAAGAGCTTTTGGTGAGTACGTGGTGTTTTACCTGTACTGCGATTTCCTGATATATTTTGGAACAGTTATCTTATTACTGTCGTGTCTGTTCCTGCGTCCTCAAAGTAAGCTGTGTGACCCATTGATGACACCTCTGTAGTGCTTTTGCACTTTTTTGTTGAAGTCTGCCTTGTCTGTAACACAGGACTCGCTTTTCTTGTCTATAATGGGTTTCTGCTAATGATTTTGGAATTTTTATTCCTTATTCTGTATTTATCACCTCGTTAATTCTCAGTAACATAATTGCTGATCAAATTTAAGTTTGGAGTTTGATCTGGAAAAAATTCTGTGAAGAAAATGGACCCGAAAAGTTGTACCGAATGAAACTGTAATGCACGAAGGAGCCTCTTGCTTCATCCCTATGTCCAGATAGTCCGTGTCAGGCGTTTGCATGACTTTATCTTCCAGAACTGGCTAAACCTCTGGTTTTGTTTCTGTGCTTTATAGAGAAGATGATTACCAGCGAAGCTCTGGAAGGGGTTCCCATTCTGGTGCTAGCTAACAAGCAGGATGTAGAGGTAAGATTATTACAGATTTACTTCTTAAGTGAGCAAATAAGCCTTGGAAAGGTGAGCTCTGTATTCATGTTCAATTTGTTTCTTATTTGTGGACTGATCCTCTGGTGCTTTCTTGCTGCTGGAAATAAATTTTGAATTTAGTTTTAATTTTTTCCTTTCTCCTCCAGCCCTTTTCCAGTGGCATAAGTGAGCTTACTACAGGCACATCCATCTCAGCTGTTTTGAACTTTTTATGTAAACAGAACAGGCTATGTAGCTATGGTGGGTCTTTCTCGTACCGTGACTTAGTGTCTTGATACTGTTTTTTCCTGTTTACTTGGCAAAAAAAATGTTTAGTGCACTTTGTTTATGCTACTCTACTATTACCTGAAAAGAGCACAACGAATATATGCGAAGCAATATCATCCTTTTCCCATAACCAGATAAAATCTGTTCAGTGAAACACTGTTTGTCCTAGAGCATTCAGTCCATGTCAGCAGTGAATGGCAAGGAATACTTTTTCTTGATCGTATAATTTGAATTCTTTCCAGCATATCCAGAACTGCAAAACTCTTGTTTTGTATTTGACAAGTTAGTGGGCTCTACAGTGTGACTATTTAGGCGACACATGCAGGGCAGTCCTCATCTCCCCGGGCATGGAAAAAAGGGAAAGGAGTGTTTAAAGTCCTCGTGGTATTTTCCATGTTGCCCTCCTCCTTTCCGTGCCTTGTAGCTGGAATTCCAGTCCTGCAGTTCGAGTGGTTAATCTCTAGATGGAGCCAGAGACTTTCAGTAGAATTTGCAGTACCAGCACTGGCAGCTGTGGCCAGTATCTGTTTCAAAGTATGCGAACACTTCGCAGCTTCTTCCCCTGGACTTTACACCTATCTCAGTGAGTGTACTTGTGGGAAAGACATGAGACTTACACAGAAATCACTTTGGCTTGAAAGGAGGATTTGGTTACACTTCATGTGTACAACACAACAGATGTTTTTGGATGATCATAAGATTATCTAGTCATAGAAATAACAGAAATGTAGTTCCACTTAAAAGACAGCATGAGATTGAGGCAGGACTCCTGATTTATGGTCCTGACTTTGCTGTGATCTCTGGTATGTGGGGCAATTGACTGTCTTTTCTGTGTGGAAGACAGAATATTAACTCCCGTATTTCCATGCAACACTACGGCTTTACAGCAGGGAGCAGTCTGCACTCTTGCCTTTAGCTGCTGAGCATTAAACTGTATGCAGTGACCTGGAAAGCTGTTCCGATTTTCTTTATGGCTGTATCTGCATATTTTGTTACGGGCATACTGCAGAAGCCAGCCCTTATGGCACCCTAGCCAGGCTAAAGAAAAATGATTGAACAAGTGGACTTCTTTATATGACTAGAAAGAGGTACTTGGAACAGGCTCTCAAGATAAAAGCTACGAATATGAGCCAGCAATGTGCCCGGGTGGCCAAGAAGGCCAGTGGCATCCTGGCTCATATCAGAAATAGTGTGGCCAGCAGGAGCAGGGCAGTGACCGTGCCCCTGTACTCAGCACTGGTGAGGCCACCCCTCGAATACTGTGTTCAGTTTTGGGCCCCTCACTACAAGAAAGACATTGCGTTGCTGGAGCATGTCCAGCTGGTGAGGGGTCTGGAGCACAAGTCTGAGGGAGCTGGGGGTGTTTAGTCTGGAGCAGAGGAGGCTGAGGGGAGACCTTATCGCCCTCTACAACTGCCTGAGAGGAGGCTGTAGTGAGGTGGGGGTCGGCCTCTTCTCCCTGGTAACGGGTGATGAGGTGAGGGGAAATGGTCTGAAGTTGCGCCAGGGCAGGTTTAGGTTGGACATTAGGAAAAATTTCTTCCCTGAAAGGGTTGTCAAGCACTGAAAGGGGCTGCCCAGGGAAGGGGTCGAGTCCCCATCCCTGGAAGGATTTAAAAACCGGGCAGATGAGGTGCTTAGGGCCAGGGTTTAGTGGTGGGATGGCAGGTTTAGGGGAACGGTTGGGCTGGGGGAGCTTAAAGGGCTTTTCCAACCTAAACGATTCCGTGATTCTATGAATGACTCCTTGCACCTCCTGGAGGGTTCAAGACCAGACAGATTCGGTGCCTTTATGCAGTCGTAGAACTGTGACAAGAGATTAGCGAAACTGGACCGACGGGAGGTTCACCTATTTTTAAGAAACACCTAAACTGTCTATTTAGAGGTCTATTCCTAGACTATGATCTTGGGATATGGACACAGAGCAGAGAGACATCAATGCTATTAATGAACATTAAAGAGACTATAGCTTGTTTTTCAGTGATTATTCCAGCTCCCTTAGGCAGGGTTTAGAGAAGTGGAGAGCCTGTTTCTCTTCCACTGATCTAGCAGAACTGAAGATGTCTGGAAGAAAATTGAACGTTACAGGATTGTCATTGGTAGAGATTTTTCTGCTCTGGATCCCTAGACATATCATTGTGTAACTGTGGGGAATTCTCACCAGCATCCCTCTGTTGTTAACGTAGATCATGATATGGGAGGATAAGTGCTATCATAACCTTGCTGGTATGCGCGAATGAAAGATAATTCGTGATGATTACATCTTTAAAGGCCAGCAGAAGACTTGTGGTGAAATATATCAGAAGTAGTACATCCGACAGGTTTTTTTTTTTAACGTTTACATTCCTCACAGTAAGCTAACAAATGTTCTGACTCAATGCCTGAAATCGCATGAAGTGTAAGAATTTTTTTGGCTCTGATGCTAAATTCCTTTTAGAGGAGAATTCTGCTGTTAATAGGCGCCTCCACCCATCCACTCAGCACAGCCAAGCATGAATGGTGTTTGGGCATATCAGGAGATGAAATACAGTCATGGACTGCAAAATACCAACTCTAACATCATGACAATATTGCATATTACTTTTTTTTGCACCAGGAGAATGCTCTGTGTTTAGCAGGGGCCTAAAAACTGGATCATTTTGTAATTAATTAAAAGACTGGGCCAAATGTGTGTTGTGGGAGGAAGTTCGGTTTGTTTTCTTTTTTAAAGGAACTATTGCTTTGTAGGGGAATTAAATGTGTAGTATATCGTAATTCATGCGGCCTCGCCTTTGAGTCAGAATGCCACTTTTGACAATATTAGGCAGTTTTGCTTACCTGCTGCTTACTGCAGAAAAAGCTGCAAAATAGGAATTTATATTAGCCATTTTGATGTGAATGCAGCTGTTTAAGGTTTATAAAAGCTATATATATTTCTGAGCTGTACAAAGAACTGTTAAAACTTGAGACTTGAGGGTAGAATGGCTCGTTTTGCAACACTATTAAAAATACTGGAAAAAACTGATCTGAACAAATAGCATTTGAAAATAATCAGGTGTTGTATGATGTCTTGGGGAGGAAATTTTGCCTTCCTAATGTTAAGATAAATTTTGGAAATTTCATTTGAAATCTCTGGAATGTTGGAAAGCCTCCTCGTGCCTTTGGAAAATGAGAGGAGTCATGGTGAGCAGCAGCATATATTTGAAGAGTCGTAGTGTTACCTATTTTCCACACAGTTGTTAGCAAATAGACCTTCTGCATGACAGCCATTCTAATTTCCAACTTAAGAAATACCACAGCTTCCCTGTAAAATCAGTTTTAATTTAAATAAGCTTGCTTTAATTTAAACAAGCTTAAGTTTTAATTTAAAATAAGCTTGTAAAAAAAAAAAAGATAGCACAGAATGTAGGTCAGGTAGGTTAGACTTTTTATTAAATAGTTTTACTTAGGTTATCCACCTTTCTGTTGTTTCTATTTTAGTTCTGTTCTGCTGATCAGTTACTCTTGAAATGGCTGAAGAGTCTGTACTTTGGGTTTTATCCTGATGTGAGGCCAAGCAGCAGCATTGTCTTTCCTGTAGTGGATTTGGCAAATGGATAACGACTCTACAAGGCAACCTTTTTTGCCTCAAACAGCCACTCATGCTTTTCTGCAAGTGACTCCAGCAACGGAGCCTTGCTGCTTGATATATTTCGAGGTGTGCCGTTCCCGAGTCTTAGCTTGGGTAACGCTGTTCTGAAGCCTTCATAAAAGGCATTTGGTTGTGCAGGCAGGTCAGTCCTGGCTAGACTATGCCTTGAAGAACCTTCACAAAAAGATGGTTTGGAGTGCATTCTTTTGGGGAAGTTGAGATAAAAATATGATTTGTCAAGTTGTGTGAGTTTCCTCTGAAATGTGTGGTAGATAACATCACTCCAGAAAGGTCATCTGTGGATTTTATTATTGTAATGGTGCACTGTTTATGTGATCACAAATCCGGCTTCCCTAGTTTGCTCTTGGTTTATGGGGTTTCAGTTGAGAAACAAAACCCATCTGTAAACAAATATTTTGTAATGTAGATGGGGAGGTGGAAAAGAGGGGAACTCAGAAGCCACAACTGACATTTTGTCCTGAGCATGAGAATCTCAAATGCTCCCAGTTGAAGTGATGGGTAATCTGCCTCATCCTCTGCTGTCGGACGAAGATTCCAGAATGTGGCTTCCCCCTGAACACTAAACCAAAGCTTCTCTGAATTGATAGTTCAGTGCTGCTGTCCCCTCTGCTCTGTTACTGTACGTCATCCCAAGGGGAAAAAGGCATTCCTCGAGTCAGGTGTAGTGTGTGATGCAGTGACATCCTGCTACCAACAGTCAATGGTAGGAAGTCTCCTCAGAAGCAAAGCTCTTTCTGATGCAGATTTCTTTTGAGAGCAATGGCTGGACAGCTTTGTGGAAGTTAGGGAAGGCCGTGGTTATAACAGGGGGTGAGAAAGGGAAGTGATTGTAATGGATTAAGCTGGGGGGAAAAAATGGCTACAGCAGTTGTAAGCTGCAGTGGAAAAAGCAGACTCCTCAAAGGCCTCAAAGATGGCCAAGGTGAAGGAGCTGGATTCTCTGTGCCGCTGGATAGGTGCAGGTGTACTGGTCTGCTGGTGGTTTTGGAGAAGTCTGATTGCTGATTGCTTTGCACAGGCCTGTGCAAGTAGAAATAAAGGACAGCACGACTATGGTCTGCATTGTTATTTCCTATCTTGAACAATTTCTCTCAGGTTTATTTTAAAAAGATTTTAAAACAGATCATAATTCAGAAGAGGAGAAATTATTATACTGTGATATGATACTGTGATATGATACTGTGATAAGCTTAAAGTCTATTTCAGGAAATGTTCGCTCAGTTTCAGCTGCCTTGGGATTTAACCTTCCAGCTGCCAAGTCTCATTTACTGAAAAAAGTAGGCACGAGAAATAGCTCAAATTACTGACGTGTAGCTCTTCTTCCTTGCCAATTCTTGGATAATTGACTTGTCTAGAGCTTTGGCTTAAATCAAGAGGCAGCTGGACCTGCCTTTCTTATTTGGCAGTGAATGTCATACCAAAACTAAAGCAGCATCTTTTACAAACTTGTAGAGAATGATGGTTTGGTCGTAATCTCTTGCCCATCTTCCAGACCTACTGGTATGAATTCCAACTCCCAAGTCCAGTCTGACTCCCTCTAGTTAGTGCTTGATTTTTTTAAAATGTATTTAACTGTTTATCCTGTGGTGACAGCTCATCTTTATGGATTGCAGGTTTTTCATTTGGCAGAAATCCTGCAGTAAGCTGTTAGGGCTTTGGTGCAATGAAGTAACATTTCTGGATATGGTTTCCAGCTCATTGATTGAAACTGCAAGTTTTAAATGCAACTTAGGTCATAAGAAAGTACAGTCATCAGAAGTTGCACAACTGATGGATTCTAGGCCCTTCACAGTGGAAAATCACAAGTCTGGATTCAAGGGCACTGGGTGAATTGGGTGTCATTAAACTCCTATCAAGCTATTGCTTAAGAACCCTTCTTTTTTATATGCACTGAAACCTGCTTATTTGTCATGTGGTCATCCCCACAGTAGTTCCCTGTATTTAATTTCTCCAGAACCAGTAGTTTGCAAAATGGATAGCTGGTATTATTAATTTTCATCTTTCTGCTAAGTTGAGGCCCAGATTTGTAGAAGACAAATTTGTAGAAGTTTAGTCTGGAGAAGAGGAGGCTGAGGGGAAATCTTATTGCCCTCTACAACTACCTGAAAGGAGGCTGTAGTGAGGTAGGGGTCAGCTTCTTCTCCCTGGTAATGGGCGATAGGACATGGGGAAATGGTCTGAAGCTGCACCAGGGCAGGTTTAGGTTGAACACTGGGAAAAATTCCTTCCCCGAAAGGGCTGTCAGGCACTGGAAGGGGCTGCCCAGGGAAGGGGTCAAGTCCCCATCCCTGGGGTTATTTAAAAGCTGGGCAGACGAGGTGCTTAGGGCCAGGGTTTAGTGGTGGGATGGCAATGTTAGGTTAACAGTTGGGCTTGGTGATCTTAAAGGTCTTTTCCAACGTAAACAATTCTATGATTCTGAGACTGAACTCCTGTTTGCAGGTAGGCTGTTCTTTCAAATTGTACATCCACCTGGACTAATCCTCAAGACTCACAAGGATTTGGCATTTGAGTAAACACTTGCCCAAAACATGTATTTGAACCCCACTGAAGGTCCAAAATGTGTTTGCAGAGAGAGGAAGAAAGCTGGGCTTGTGGCCAGCTAAAGTGCTTAAATGGCTTGTCCAAGGCTTCTGAGGAAAAAGCAAGCACTGAGATCAGAAAGGGATTTAAAGGCTGATGATTTTTCTTGTACCTGCCTCCTGTGTTCAGGGGGGAAGATGCAAGTCTAGACTTCAGTAGGGCAGGTTTGCTTTCATTGTGTTTGTAACTCCTCAGAATAAAATTTTTTGTGGTAACACTGTGATTTATTTTTTGTGGTAACACAGTAATCCACTGGTTTATTGGGGGGGATGGGGGGGGCTATGCATCTGTGTATTTTAAAACCACTTCCCAGTAATCTCCTAGCAGCCTTACAGAAGCGCAAGACCTGATGGTGATCAAGAACAAAGTGACACCAGGCATCAGAAAATGTGCTGCATTTAGCACTGTCAGCATCTTCTCCTGCCTGCAAAATGCAGCTGTGCTTTTAATGTCAAGGAAGATGCTGAGAACTTAAGAAAAATCATGACCAAGCCATTTTCTGAGAGCGCACATGTAGGGAGGCATGATCCAGGCCGTTGGCAAAACGTCAGCTGCAGGAACTGACTTGTCTGGGGTTCTGGCAGGGACACCATTTCATTTGTAAATAGATGCGCTCCTGTAGTGTCCTGGTGGACAGAACTTGTGTGCGATGATTGGGGCAGGTTGGAAGGAGTATCCCGAGGGCGTGCAGGTTGTGCCCGTTTTCATGACTCTGCTCGGAAGTGTGCATCCTGAGGATCAGGGGGGCGTGGCAGAGCGGGTATGCTTCCTGAAAATAGCATTGTCTTTGGTGAAAAAAGAATACGTTGATTTTTTTGGGAATGTAAAGAAGTGAATTTGCTGTGTTCATGGGTGAGGGGATTTAATCTAACAGCGTTGTGCCATCCTGACTGAAGGAAAGCTGCGGATATGGTAGGATTCATTTTGGAAGGTCACCATCTCTTGTAGCATAGAAAGCAAGCTCTTTGGTTTCCTTTGCAGAATTGCCTGTCAATACCCGACATCAAGACAGCATTTAGTGACTGCATTAACAAAATTGGGAAGAGAGACTGCCTGACACAAGCCTGCTCCGCTCTTACTGGGTAAGTCTGAGAACGGACAGTATTCTGGTTAACTGAACGGGTGTTTTGGTTAACTGAACCACTGCAGGGTGTCACACAAGCAGAGCAGTACTGTAGGGTTTAATAACCCCTGAAAGGGAGCTGCACTTCCTTCCCAACAGTGACAGATACTCGTTTGTGAACCTTGGACATGCACCAGGTCAGTAGCTTCATCTGTAGATCCCGCCTATGAAACACAATGAAAATGTACTACCGGCTGAGAGCAATGGGACTTGGCAGCATGTGGAGCTGTTTATTCTTGTCCTCTATCATCCCTTCTCTGTACACAGTAATCTTTGCTGTCATCAGCTTGTTGCAGCTCCTGGCTTTTATTTAAGAAGCCAGTTGAAAATATAGCTGTTTATGATGCTGCCAGAGGAATGAGTGGTGCTCAGTTGTTGGAGTCATTTTGCTCTTGCTTTCCTATTTTTTGGCACACAGATGAGCTTTGTTATGTAGATAATATAGCAATCTTCAAGAGTGTTCTTACTCTGGGGACGCCTGTGGTTTAAGATACAATGACTAGCACAGACCAAAATTTGGGAGACTGATTGTTCTTCAGGCCTACACAGCTGCATGCCATGACCTTGACCCACCCTCTAGGTTCTTGATATCTTGGCATCACTATTGCGCATTGAGTCTTGCAATACTTTGGTTACCCTTTCAGTTCTTTGGGTGAAAAGCACTATTTGGCATAAGTCAAAAGTACTGTTCCAGATGGCTAGAAACACTCCTGTCTGAACTACTGCTGGTGCTGAATCCAGGGCTTTCAGAGGTCTTCCTTTTTTTTTGATCTAGCAAGAAAGCTGTATTATTGTACAGGCTACTGCAAAGGATAAGAACAGCCTCTTAAACCATGAGAAAAACCTCTGTTGTCTGCAGTGCTAAGAATCAAGTGCTATTAAGCAGATGAACGACCACAAGAACAACGGTTAAGCACTGACTGGAAGAGAAGTATTAGATAGTAATCTTATGTAAAAATGCAACCTTTAAATTGTTGTGGGTTTTGTAGAAACACTTCTAGTTTTGATCTGTGTGGAATTCCCTTTCAAAATTTCAGTTTGAGTTTGCACTAAAAAAAATATAAATTGTGGAAGTCCTGGCTGGGAAGCTGTTCAGGCCGGTGAGCTGGTGACTTGCTTGGCAGCCCTGGTGCAGATGATTACAAAAAGTTGGAGCAAAGATTGGAAGATCTGATACAACTAGCCTGAGGCTTGTAGCAAAGTAACCTCAAACCAGCTGACTGTCAAGTGGTTTGATGCTTGTTCATCCCAAGGTTTCCACAGAGTTGATGACTAACTAAATTGGATGTAGACTTGTACAAACACCAGAAAAATAAAGGACAGACTTCACAATGCTGAGTTAAAAAAAATTAGATCCCCATTGTTTGTGTGTATGAGAAACTAAGAATAATGCCAATAAGTAGCTGCAGGACAGAACCCCTCATTTGCTCTCGTAGGGGCTCAGCTAGGGACTACGTGAGCTATGGTTTTGTTCTTGGTTATGTGTTGTTTTGTTGGTTTTTTTTTTTTTTCTTTTAAATCTCATCTACTTACCTTATTTCCTTAGCAAAGGAGTGAATGAGGGAATCGAATGGATGGTGAAGTGCGTGGTGAGGAATATTCACCGGCCCCCAAGAAAGAAGGACATCACGTAAGAATTCCACGTCAGCCAAGGAACAGACAGTCTTTTTCAACACAGTTTTGTGTTCTCTTTAAAGAAGGTGGTCCACTGGATTCCTATTACACCTGATTCTTTCCTATGTTTGGAGACAAACGTTCTCTTTCTGTGTCTAAAAAACTTGAGCAAAGGATTCCAACTGGGTGGGGGGTGGGAATCTCTTACATTAAGTATTAAATCGTTGGCCTGAGAGCATTGGCCGAATGGCAATCTACACATTGTTGCAGATGCAAAGGACTTAATTTTCTACTGTATTACTTTGTGATTCTTAATTTGTAGTCTAACAGGCTGGAGGCCAGTGACATGAAGGAACTCCTGAAGGAACTGTGTAGGTGAATATGAAAGGGGAGGGAGAGCCTGGGGAACGGCTGTCCCTTCTAACTGAGAAGACCCCTTGCTGCTCCAGCCCCATGGCTACTATAGGTGGTGTTACTGGCCCTGTTATGCTGCTGTTTGTATAATGGGGAGAGACAGTGTTGATTCTAACTCAATTTTCAGTCGACTTGTTGATTTGTAACTTTGACCTGTGGTAAACGCAGATATGGAAGCCAGCAACTGCACAATGGTACACTGTTTAAAATGAGTTTTCTCAACAGGACATGAACTCCAGAAGCACTGCCTTGCTTTGACTGCCAACCTCTCTGTTGTGCATTCTCTTTAATCATAAGAATAATTGGTATCTTCTGTAACTGGAATGAATTGAGGCCCTCTGTGATCTTTTTAGGCCAAAAGCTGAACCTCTAGGCAGGGAGAAATCAGTATGCAATAAAGCTTCCTACTTCTTTGAACTTCTCTTGCTGAAACAACTGATGTTTGGCGATAGTGGTACTTAGCCCTCTAGTGTTTTGAAATGCAAAAAAGAACAGAAAGGCAGCTCTCAAAGTCAAATAATGCTCACTTCATGTGTAGCCTACCCAGCCAGCAATTCTGCTGACGTATCGCTAACAGTTCTCCAAATCTCTCTCTTTACATGTGTTTTACAGTGGTTTGGCAGCGGGTCTTGCTCTTTGCGTGTTTCAGTTACTCCTGCCGCTGGTGACCATTCCAAGCTCTTTGCTCACTTAGCTAAGGGGAGGTTATTCAAGCTCTATTTGAGCAAGTTAGGCAGTAGTATTTGTTTAAGGATATGTTATTTGGCATCTGCCAAAGAACTATCTGCCAATTTTTTTCCGTGCACCTCACCGCGGATTTTTTTAATGAGAAAACGTAATTCATTCCCTCGCATTTGGGTCAATGTGTGAGGGCAGCTGGCTATGTCATTAAGCACATGAAGTCAGGGGAAATAATTGCGTACTGGAGAGAAGAATCTTACTTCTCAGTAATGCTAGGATAGGAGAAGGCTGGGCAAACTGTCAGGTGAGGTATCAAATCCCTTCCAGTTGCTTGCTGCTGTTAGGCGCTATAGCACAGTACCCGAGTTTGAATTTGAGTGGTGCCAATGTCAACGCCATATCCCAGAAGAATTAAACTGCAGTTGATCTAACTCGGACACCAGAGATGTCATTAGGCTCCTCCAGACCTCGTGGCCCATCTCAGATTTCTTACGCACTCTGTGAACATGGAGGATCCCTTGAGGATCACTCACCTACTGTGGGAAATGGCACTTTCTCTAGGTGCTGCATGTGACGTAGGGCTGAGAGCTTCAAGAGTATAAAAGTATTCGATACCCAGTGGCCGCTGATTAAACAGGAAATCTCTCTCACTTGGCCAACCCTGAAAGTCTGAGTATTTTCAAGGTATCTCTGTGCTCCTGGCTCTTGTTTCGGTTGGCAGGGTTGGTGCTAGCAATTAAACTGCAGATGTACAACAGTGGCTGGTGGACAAAAGTGCCTTGCTGAGAGACAAAACACTTCAGTCAAGTAACTTGAAATGTCTGTTTGATAGGACACCAGGGGTTTTCCAAGCTTTCCACATAGTCCTTTCAGATCTCTCCCTATTCCCTAGGAGACCAGGGAGGAAAAACAGTTTTGAGCTCCAGGCCACAGCTGTTCTCACAAGTTTCTAGAGACAAAGACTGCTTTGTGGCACATACCAGCTGGAGGCCTTAGATTAAAGCACACGTTTTGACTTCAGAATTCCAAATTCTCAAGAGCAGAAGAGTCTTTCACCCAGAAGATGCATCAGCGGCAATACATAAGTACCAGCACACTCTGATGTCCACTAAAAATCTCTGAAACCAGCAGCGAAAGGTTTGGTATCATGCAGCGTTAGCTTCTAGAGCAATAACAGCAGTTCCTTGATGGGGCATACAGATGCAGCTGCTTGGCTCCCCAAGTCTGTTTTGGGAAAGAGCTTTGCGGTTAGGCTTTTCCACAACTAGAGAGAGAGTGCACCTACCTGATACCATCGAAAGATTTCCCGAGTGCGGGAGAAGCCCAGCAGGTGATGAGTCGAGCCAATTGCTGAATTGCTTTGGGGTGTCCTCCCTGCTGCAGCAATGAAGGAATTCAGCCAACAGGTGCAAGATAAAAATCTTGCTGTGCAAGCACAACCTGGACTTGGATCTCGCTGATCGTGCACCACGTGCGGTTGCTTTACGTGATGCACAAAGACAGTGGCACGCCGCGAAGTCAGCTGGGGGTTTTGGTTGCATCTGCTCTCTTATGGTCGTAAATGGCTACGCAAGGACACTGATGGCTTCTTCCTTCAGTGGGTTTTTATTGCAGCTTCAGTCTCTATAAGCAGGTCTGTTCTGCCAACGATGCCTCAGTACAGACCAAAACCAGAAAAGGACCAAATTGACACAGAAAAGCATTCTGAAAAGGGATGGCAGTCAATGCATAAACTCCACTAAAAAAGAAAGATAGTCTAAGATGATATGCTGGTAGCTGATAGCTATTTTATATTTTGATCAATAATTTAATCAGTAATTTATCATATTTTAGACTTGTGCTTTAAGTCCTTACAGGAAGCACAGACTTGTATTTAAAACGCATTGCAAGTGACCCCCTTCAAGACCTCCAACTAAAGCGAGGACGTTTCTGAGCAGTTCAAGTGTAATCGGTTTTTCAGATTGTTGACACATTTGAGATGAACCTCCTTTGCCCGTGCCTGTTTACAGCGTTTCATTTCTCTGAAAAGGCGCTTTATCTTCCCAAGGTGAAACAGATCCATCATCCGCCCTGAGTAACTGCTTTTTCCTTTAGCATGCTTTATGCTGAGATAAAGCTAAGTGTCTAATAATCATGGTAGTTATTCTATTTGCCTTATTTGAGCACTGGCAGCAGATAAACTTTCTCTCACATGTCTGGAATTTCCCTGCTATGCAAACATTTATTAGCTGTTAGCAGTGGGAGGCAAGAGCATTCCTTAAAAAAAAAAAACCAAAAAAAAACCAACCCCACTTCTAATGCTTTTGAGTACTCCATGAATCACCACGCTGTCTATGCGGTGGCAATTTCATCTTCCTATGGAGAGACACAGAGTAACCGAGTTACAGCACTTTTTGCTGGTGCTACCTAATCCCATCCCATCCTAGCGCGAGGTGACGGTGACGCGTTAGCCTTGCCGCAGCGGGCTGCTTCTCAGCCATGCTGATGTCACAGCTTGTCCCACAGAACCAGGGGAAATACCGGGACAAATCAGACACAACTTCGTGCTAAGTCCAACATCTGATGTAAGGCGCTGGCCAGTGCTGCCTGTTTCAGAGCAAGGTGAAGAAGCAAGCAGAAGGCGGGTGTGGGGTCTGTGCCCCCCCCAGCCGTCCTTCCGACTCTCTGCTACACTGAAATCAGCTGAATAGAGAAGCAGACTTAATAGCCTTCCCAGTACCGTAGGGTTTTATTCCTAATTGAGCTATTTTTAGTCTCTTCTGCCTTATGATCCCACTTCTGTCCTGCTGACACATCCTATAACATCATTTGTACACCAGCACGTCCGGCACATCCATCAGTTCATTTAAGGTAAGGATCGGCCTTTATGCATTACAGATAGCAATCTCAAGCGAAAGGGCACTTCACTGCAAGCCTGGAAGATTGTTGCTCCTCAGAGATGATGTTTTATCTGGGCATGAGACTGTGGAGTTAGTCATGATTTCCAGCAGTGTGTGCTCACAAATAACTTAACTATGAAGTACCGTTGTGGGTTTGGAAAATGGAAGGGTACAACAGCTAAAAACCTAAAGTACTTGAAGGTTTCTGAATTGATTGAGGCATTTCATTATTTTTTGAAACAGCGTCCTGGGACTTCTCTGCTGGCAAGTGGTGTTAGTTCACGGAGAGAACATCTAAGCTCTGCTAAGAAAGGCAAAGAGCGGTACCATCACTGGCCTTGACCATTATCCCTTCAAATGAAAATAATCTGATTAATGTAGATGGTAACTGACTGGCAGCCACAGAGAGCAGAGGCCACACGTAAAGGGAAGTGGGTTCTGCCTCTGCTTGCAGCTCTGCTCACGCTCCCCAGCTTTTACTGAAAGAAGCGCCGCAGATTGAGTTTGCCTTCAGCCTCGGGACCGTTTTCAGAAACTGAAAGAAATTACTCCCGAGTATTTGTTTGTGTGTAGGTTTCCCAAAAGCAATTTGGACCATTAAGAAAAACAGGCTGAATTGACCCTGCCACGGAAACAGGTTACAGGCTGGATGCCCTCTTAAAAATCCGTTTTAGGATGTTTTTCTATTAAAATTTGGCTCGCATCTGTCTCCAGGGAGCTACGAGGCAGTGGAGAGCTGGGAATTGCCTTTGCCGAGCTCTCACCAGGACAAAGGATGCCAGAGAAACTGGAGCAGGTGCTTTTTCACGCTGGAATTTTACATGAGTGGGAAATCCCACACGAGACATTCCTGGTTGAGGACACGCATTATTTTGGTTTGCCGGACCTCAGGCATTTCCTGCAGCATTGTCCTTTGGTTTTGCTTCTTGTGCTTCTGAAATCCCTTAGAGAGTTGTTTTTCTGCTCTGCTGGTGAAACCAGCTTCCATGACAACTACTGGGGGCTTTCCATTAGTTTCTCCACACATCCTTAAGCTTTTTTATATCCAAAACCACTTCACAGTGATACAGCACTGTCGGCACTGCCTGCTCTCATACAACTTCAGCTGCGCAACTTATAGCTGATCACAAGCCTTCACCCATGACACTCTTTACCACGGAAGGGAGTGCTGAGTACATTTTCTGACGAAAGAAAGGAACAAGTCGGTACTAAAAGCAGCCAGCCTCTTATAGGAAGACGGCTGAGGACTGGTGCAGGAAACTTGGACAGCACAGTGTGCAACAGCACTGCGGAAAAAAAAAAATGACCTAAATTTCTCCCATAAAGTGGGTTCTCATCAAGTGGAAATAAGCAGAGGAGGAACATTTGCAGTGAGTTACTCAGTTGTGGAATTCTGCCCAACATAATTTATTTTTAAACGGATAAAATCACTTTCTGGAGGCAGGAATCTCCTTGTTCCTTTCCTTAAAGCTGAAGGCTGCTGATGCCAGACGAGTTTCCAAATCTCACTTTAGTCAGCTGTGTCCTCTGTTGAATGCCACGTTCCCCCCATCCTTTTCTGAGGATGCCTTTGCAGTGGGCTCGCCTTTCCCACAACCGTGTCACATGCTACCGAAAGTGCTTGTGCAGATGAGGCAGTAGATATATTTGCTTGGGAACTCACAGGATGAAACATCCTTTCCTTGAAGCAAAGTACTTGCTGGATGAAGAGGTAGTAATCTTTACTAAGGCTACTAACTGGTGAGTAATAAGTTCTTTTGGTGCATGTCCATAGATGGTACTGTCTTTCTACCATCCACAAACACACCACTTACACTTCCTCCATCCAGGCGGCCCTTCACCGGTGGCTCCCTGACTGCCGCTCCGCTGGGGAACTGCCCCGCAGCTGGGGAGGCAGCTGCCGGCGTACACCAAGCACAGCGTTATTTAGGAGAAGCTGCATCATGCGAAGCGTACATCCTTCAGCTGATGTCGTGCTAGACGTTTGGAGGAACAGCTTCGAACCTCTGAGCCAGCACAGCCTTAAGGCACCTGTAGATGCCATAAGCACTGCTCCCAGGATAAACTAAATCCACTGTAAAATTAACTGCATTCCTGAAACAGAAACCCACGGGGTCGTTTCTATTGTGTTCCTACTTGTGTTCCAGTTCACTGCAGAACCAGAAACTCCTCTGCTAGTTCTCAGAAGGCAAATAAATAACCTGATACCATCTCATCCGTAGACTTCCTTTAGCAGGTTGGTTTTTTTTTTTTTTGAGTCACACTCCCACAAAACAAAACACACCACAGAAAAGGTTCTATAAAGCAGTTGTAAAGAGACATAAAGAATTCATTGTTCCCAGAAACCAGGCAGCTCCTCGCTGCCCACCCCTTTAAACAGCGGCAGGCGAATGAATCCACGGGCAGGCCCCGTGCTTCGCTCTGAGATTTTGCCGGGTGTGCCCGGTTTGTGACCGAAGCCCCCCCACTCATTCGCATTTGCTTTGCCGTCAGGGGAACAACGTGAGCTACCAAGGGTTACCCTGACCTGCTGAAAGCTTTTGCTCCTCTGACGCAGACAGGGCTTAAGTTTTACATTTGAGATTATGCATAATAGGCACATGTACTGAACGCCACGCTTTTAACCGGAGATCTCTGCCCCAGAGGGGAAAGCAGCGGAAGCGAAGGCATCTGGCCACCTGGGGAAGGGGGGAGGACGAGTGCTGAATCGAGAGCAACCGATCCCACGCAGACCCAGCCTCGGTGAGGATTAAGCTCTCCCAAGTCTGCACCCACATCCTCAGTGTCATGGAAATATTGACAGCTCATCTCCATGCCATGAGAAGAGGCAGGATCACAGGATCGGCTGCGCCGTGAAAGATCGAGTAAATGCCCTATGAGCACGGCTTGTTTCAAAGGGCAGGGGAATCTCGGTAAGCGAGAGGTGCTGAATCACAGGTTAGGCTTTCCTGCGTGACGTCATGTCAGCGCACGGCACACGAAACCGGGCAAAAGAAGAACTTGGGTTTGATCCTGCCAGAGCTGATCTGTTCTTTCAGGTTCAGAGTCACAAAGTGGGGACTGCACGGTCCTGTTCTTAGCTTCCAAGTTTCCCAACTTAAAGAGTCCACAACTGTCTTAACTTCGGGGAAGACCAAGAGAAGGCCGATAAATCGCCCCCCAGGCTCCGCTGTCACAGAAGGAAGTGCGGAGGCAGAAACCAGCACCAGGGAATCTGTGTGATCAGGCTGAACCAGCACGTTGCAGCCGATCTGAACTCTCCAAACTTTCACACTTCGTAGTCGAAAACGCCCTTACATCCCCATGCCTGAGACTCAGCAGCAGCACCCAGACCACCCAATGCACATCCTCGCTGAGCTCATGTCCTCATAGCAAGAGCTGGGAAGTCATCGTTCCCTGCACTTCCATAGAAAAATGATGAAGCCTTTCGGCTCCACTCCCCTGCATTACAGCAAAGTCACAGCTGGAGCTCCACTATGTTCAGAGCAGCTGGGAAAGCCCCAAACGGAGCACAGGTCACTACTGGCACCCGCTGCATTGGCGTTGGGTGCCTGCTGCTCTTCTTGAGCGAGCGGCGATGGGGGACGCCGCACACAGCAGCCGGGGCCTCGATTCCCCCCACGTAGGCACGGCCCTGCAAAGGCTCCGGTTCCCACTGCTGCTTAGTCACCGAGGCACGGCCGGCTGCAGTAGCCCTCTCCCTAAACATTGTGTAAGATGGAAACTGCCATTGTTTTGAAGGGCACACAAACACTTGGGTTAGGAAGACTCCTATTTTATGTTGACCCAGACAATAATACATAAATAGCTGCGGTTCCAAACAGCGAGGGTGTTGTGTAAGGATATTATAGCTGCAGTCATTCCAAGCTTCCTGACCATGTTTCCCAGAAAAACTAATGTAAGCTAAAAGGCATCAGAAGGTTTTTACTAATATGTTCTATTTGTATTCAAGCTAAGAGGAGGCAGTGCCCAGACCTGAGCTTTACGGGTTAAGTACCTTGGGAGCAAGCTCAGGGGAGCCAAACAACGGCTGAGTAAATAGCAGAAATGTGCTTCAGACAGGACCCCTTTTGCTGAGCGAAATCCCGTAAGCGACCTTTCAAGCCTCTCGGGGCACAAGCAAGCTTTTCTGTAAAGACCAACTGCCCCTCCCCACCCCCCGCCAGCACTCGCTTGGAAACAGATGCTGGAACTCAGTGAGAACTCCGGTCTTGTGCTCTGTAACCACCACGAGAAACCAGATCCCAAGTTTGGTTAAAAAAGGCAATTTCATGCTGGTGTGTCTTTAGCTCCCGTTTCAACAACCAAGTCAGTGCCGTGGCGCTGGCTGAACGAGTCTGCTGGGTACCGAACACTCCCCGAGAGCTGAAGCTGCGTAGGGAGGTCAGGGAT